TCAAAAAAAAATATCCAAAAATATAGGCAGGTATGTTGATCCACCATGGTGTAGTGGTTTGAGTGTCAGTCATGAAAACACACTGGGTGACCTTGGTCAAGTCACACTCTGTCAGCCTTAGAGGAAGACAAGGGCAAATAACCTCTGAATGAATTCCACCAAGAAAACCATGCAATGCACACACCTGAGGTTTGCTATAAGTCAGAAATGACTTAAAGGTACACAACAACAATGTTGATCCATGTCGACAAATATGTTCTAGCACATTTTCATCTCTAAAAGGAATTGATTTTTTATATATATAAAATAAAATAAAGGTAGCAGCTCTTAATGAGAATTTGCAAAAGATTACTTTGGAAGGCCTCAGCTCCCAGAAACCTCCTGCTAGCATTGTCATGGCTACACTGGGTGAGAAATTCTGGGAATTACAGAGCATGTTTTCTAAGCTCTGGGGTACAATCACACTATAGAAATAAAGTGTTATGATTTCACTTTAACTGCCATGATTCTGTCCTATGGAATCCTAGGATTTGCAGCATAAGGAGGGAGCATTCACAATTCTCAGCTAGAAAGGTTTAGTATCTCACCAAACTACAAACCCCTAGAGTCCATAGGTTGGAACATGGCAGTTAAAGTGGCATAATAGCACTATAATTGTGCAATGTGAACACACTCTTTACTCTTAACTCAATCTGAGGAAGTAAACTGAAGTCTAGGAAAGCTCATGCTGCCAATTTCTTTCTATCAGTTAGTCTCAAAGGTGCTACAAGATCTCTCTCCATACTGATTCTACAGACTAACATGGCTATATTTTTAAATTCTACCTCATATGCATTCATTACAATAGGGGTAATATATATCATAACAATGTATTGATTCTGAGGGGAAAACATCAGCCTGTCCAGTTGCTGTGTGGGTTGCAGCTAAGCTTGGAAGGAACACAGAAGTCTAGAATGGCAGGGGGTGATATGATTATCCCTGCAACCCAAAAGGTTATGGTGTTTGAACCCTATGAGTCCTGGTTCCACTACTACATGAATTCATAAAACTGCAATCTTTGGTGGAATTATGTAGTCATATATTTATCTACTAAATATAAATGCAAGCTTTTGAACTGTTGTAGAAGCTTGCAAATTACTCCTTCTTGCATTGCACACTCCCTGTCTGTGTTGCAGGTGGAACTAGAGTCTTGTGTACACTCTATGAGCAAATAGACTCTTGAAATTCCTATGTATGAAAAAAGTTAACAAGTTGGAAAGATCATTTTACTGATTTTTTTCCAGCAGGGGGAGAAATTATCCAACAGTTTCTCAGAAGCAGGCTTCATCATCATCAGTGGGGATGGTATACTCTCGCCCCTTTTCTTCCCTAAGAAATCCTTTAAAAAAATCAATTGTAATAGTAGCAGTCACAGCAAATGGGGTGCAGTCTGGCCACCATTTTGCATCATCCACAGAGGAATAAACTAAAATATTCTACTACCTGAAACAGATTGATATTTCCTATCAAGTGGTATGGCCATTCATAAAATCTAGCACTTAGCTGTCTTGTGGTTTTATCTTTTCCTAGGACGTTATCACACGGGGGCAAATCTGCTGGTTAATCCAC